CATACAAATGTACAGAATCGCTGGCTTGAGTTTCAGCTCAAAGAGTTTAAAGATGCCCTCAAGACATCCCAGGCTCCTTTGTTTTCACTAAGGCAACGCACACAACCTGTCAAAAGTCAGACTTGGATACGAATATTTAATTGAGAGGAAATATACTATAGCTATGGAAAACTCCAGTGTCTGAATAGAATTTCACTATTATCTAAAGCAGCCCAGAAGGTCAGCCGTACCCTGGGCTGCATCAGGAGAAGCGTGGCCAGCGTCGAGGGAGGGGATTGTGCCCCTCTGCTCTGCTCTGGGGAGACCTCCCCTGGAGCCCTGCGTCCAGCTCGGGAGCCCTCAGCACCAGGAGGACATGGACCTGTTGGAGCGGGGCCAGAGGAGGGCTACTAAAATGCTCCGAGGGCTGGAGCCCCTCTGCTCTGAGGCCAGGCTGGGAGAGTTGGGGGTGTTCAGCGTGGAGAAGAGAAGGCTGCGGGCAGAGCTGAGTGCGGCCGGTCCCTGGCAGGGGTTGCCCCGAGAGGGGGTGGAGGCCCCATCCCTGGGACCATTCCAGGCCAGGTTGGCCGGGGCTGTGAGCAACCTGATGTGGTTCAAGGTGTCCCTGCTCCTGCAGGGGGGTTGGGCTGGGTGACCTCTGGGGGTCCCTTCCCACCCAAACCATTCTGTGATTCTATGATTTACATTTTGCACAGCAAGTCAGGACTCCACAGCCACCTCTGTTTCTGCTTCACGCAGCTTGTAGGCGTACAGCACAACCACCAGGTGGGCTTCCACAAAGAAGGGTGGCGGGTTCATGGAGAGCTGCTGCAGCTTTCGTGTGAGCTGCACGAGCCCATCACAGGAGGATCGATGGGCTCAATCCTCCAGTGGTACAGAACTAGCTCACAGGCACCTGGATGCACGCAAAGCCAATGAAGTTCTCTTGAGTCTGTTCGTTTTAGCAATGCTTGCATTATTTCAGAGTTAAAGCACACCCTGGAGACCACAAGAGAAATCATCCTGCCAAAAACGGAGTAGAACTTCTTCTGCGTACACATACTTGTGTGTAGTTTTCTAGTATGTGTATTTGAGAATGATAGAAAATCATCCATAAAATGTTAAATTTAATCATCCATTTACATCACTTACAGTTGTAGCCGAGACAGTAAATCAGACCACCGTTCCCTCAGTGCTCACTATCAGATGAGCTACAGCTCGAGGCATCCGTATGCGTGTGTCAGTGGAAATACTTTCAGTGAAATACTTGCTAGAATAAGACCTAAAATGCACAAGTAACTGCCTCCAACACAGGCACTTCAGAGGCTGCCTCCTGCCTCGTGCACACGTATGCAGTCAATGCAGTTAATCACCTCTGGAAAGCCGTTAAGAAAGCACACGTGCTCAGCGAAGACTTAATTGAAACTACTAAGTACCACAGGCAGACTGAATATTTCTCTTCTCCGGAGCTTAATCACAAGCCTAAGGAGCCAGGATCCCTTCTTTGCTCTCCTCAGTTCATTTTTACCGACGCAGAGCATCTTCGTCTGCCGCACTCCGTAACCTACAGTGGGACACTAGCCTGGAAAGCAAAAGACAGCGTCTACCACGCTTACCACAGCACCTGAACCACTTGAGTCTCCTCTTAACTCTACTGAAGCCTGACTATACCAATTTAAAAGGAACCACCATCAGCTTTGAGAAAAACTAACAATGAAGACTTAAAAGAGGAGATTCTTGGATACTATCATAAGCTCCTGCAATCTGTTCCCATCCCATTTTCCCCTTTTACACTCCACATTGCTTAGAATTCACCAATATTAAGAGTTTTAAAATTATTATGGGGCTATGATATAATTTTATTTCTAAAACGTAACAACAGATGAACTTTAATTATAGTACGGAACCCTAAGTAGGTATTTTCAGTTCTCCACAGTGACATTAGTCTGGAGCAGAGGAGGCTGAGGGGAGCCCTGATCGCCCTCTACAATTACCTGAGAGGAGGCTGTAGGGAGGGGGGGGTCGGCCTCTTCTCCCTGGTAACAGATGATGGGACGAGGGGGAATGGTTTGAAGCTGTGCCAGGGCAGGTTTAGGTTGGCCATTAGGAAAAACTTCTTCACCGAAAGGGTTGTCAGGCTCTGGAAGGGGCTGCCCAGGGGGGTGGTCGAGTCCCCATCCCTGGAGGTATTTAAAAGAAGGAGAGATGAGGTGCTTAGGGCCAGGGTGTAGTGGTGGGATGGCAGGGTGAGGTTAAAGGTTGGCCTTGATGATCTCAAAGGTCTTTTCCAACCAAAGTGATTCTATGGTTCAGACATAAAACTTCAGGTCTAGCCAGTCAAAAACACAGCTCCATTTCCCCAGCTGCACACCACGATGCTCTGCTTCAATGTATTAAACACACCTCTGCAAGAGCAAGCCATGGATTCCCCCATGCCCTCCAGTGCAAAGCTGCTGTGGAGGTGGAAGGCACCGCAGATTGTTGAGTGACCCAGTTCACTCTTGCGGAGCAGCTCCCCCAGGGAGAACCATCTGCTGTTGTCCTAATTTATGCCATTAGTCACAGCCCAATACAAATCGCATTAACTCTAACAGGACAGTATTACTTATGGAACTCACCACATAGCTCATTCAGAAATAATCGTGTTATGGTCATCTGCTCTCCAGCTCCCCATATTAAGTGACAAGCACTTCAAAAATCTCTATTTGCGACTTGTCTGCAAATTCTCGTAGAGAAAGGGCTAACCTACAGACCAGCAGTGCCACCAACGACGTAGCGATGGTAAACTTCCACGGGCGCGCTGCAGGATTAAGAATTAAGACTCAAAGCAGCGTAGAGGCTACCGAGGTCCTTCGCATACTACAGTGATGCCTGTGCTTGGAGAATATGGAAAAAGGAAGCAAAGCCCCAGTAAGAAAAATTTAACTTAAGCTGAGCTTATTTTAAAATAACTATCAATTAAACTTAGTCCCAGATGGAGTAACACCTAGATTTGGTTTACAGTAGACTTGCTTAAGATCGGGGTTTAGTGGTGGGATGGCAGGGTTAGGGGAACACTTGGACTTTATGATCTTAAAGGGCTTTTCCAACCCAAACAATTCTGGGATTCTCTGAAAATAAACCCCAAAGCCTTGCCCTTTCAACAGGGCTTTGATGCTTGCTGCCAGTTCCGTGGAATGGGAGTAGCAGGTACTCCAGGTGCTAGTTCTCCCCTTCCAGCACATACTCCACATCTTCCCAAAGCACCAAGCTGCCTCACACCAAGTCTATCCCGCTGAGCGTAGAACTGAAAAACGCAACAGAAGGATTGAGTGGTCTGTTAACTTCCTTTCTTGTCATGAAATAGCTTTATGAGTTAAGCGGTACTTTTAAATCTAGTTTAGAAGTGCCGTTTCACAATGGACATTAAGGACCATAAATAGTAGACACGCGTCTTCACCTGAACAAGCAGCAGTCGGTAACTGAGCAGCACTGGGACACAGAGGTCCCTTAGGATCCCGGCACACGATCTGGCACCTTGCTCAGGCCTTTGACGGGGTGACAGCAGGTCAACTATGAGATGCACAGGGTACAGCCCAAATGAACCCTTCCAGTCAATCTAGATTCCGTTCTGTTCAGTTTTACCCAAAGCTACACCTGACTTAAAATATCTCATCGCTAAATTCCCCAAAATGATTTGTGAGAAGCTGAACGAAACAGCAGCCAACAATGCTGGAGAGAAAAATTAAGATCTACAGGCAAGGCGGTCGATCTGTACCAAACTCAAGAGGTGAAAGTCTGAGGAAGTCAGGAGGGTACAGCGCAGAACATGGGTCCCTACTCATTTTACAGTTGAAGGAGAGCCAGAGTTAAATGGAAAGGGTTACACAAAGTGGTGTCGCTTTATAGGGAGCCACCACAAGATCTGCTATTACTCTCCATAGTAATGAATAAACAGTTTGCCCCTGCCAAAGTTTCAGATAAGATTTAATGCCAGAGTTCTACTGGATATACAGGAAATAGCTTAAACCAAGCTCTAAAACAAGAGCTTGAGTGTGGCAGTGTAAAGTACAACAACCAGAGCCAAGAACCGGAGCATTATCACGTACCAGCCCACCGTTTTGGAGTACTGTGTCCAGTTCTGGGCTCCCCAGTTCAAGAAAGATGAGGAACTCCTAGAAAGAGCCCAGAGGAAGACAACAAAGATGATGGGGGGACTGGAGCATCTCCCCTAGGAGGAAAGGCTGAGGGAGCTGGGCTTGTTCAGCCTGGAGAAGAGAAGGCTGAGAGGGGATCTCATCAACACCTACAAATATCTCAAGGGTGGGGGTCACGAGGACGGAGCCAGACTCTTCCCAGTGGTGCCCAGTGCCAGGACAAGGGGCCATGGGCACAAACTGAAGCACAAGAGGTTCCAGGTGAACATCAGGAAGAACTTGTTGACTGTGAGGGTGCCCGAGCCCTGGCCCAGGCTGCCCAGGGGGGCTGTGGAGTCTCCTTCTCTGGAGATCTTCAACCCCCGCCTGGATGCTGTCCTGTGCCCCCTGCTCTGGGTGAGCCTGCTTGGGCAGGGGGGTGGCACTGGGGGAGCTCCCGAGGGCCCTGCCAACCCCTGCCACTCTGGGATTTAATACCAAGTTCCTCTTCCGCTACCACCACAGTTAGCAACACACCCAGAGTCCAAGACTTACATTAAAACTGGTTACCAAAAGGTGGGTCATAACATTATAGATTCAGCTGCAGCTCAAAGAGCCAATAAGACTCAGTTTGCTTTATGGTAACTGTAACGCTAGCAAGGCAGCATCCTCCAATACCCACAGAATTGGCATGAAACGTTCTGCTCTGGTAGTTTTGCCCACTCAACTCCACGAATCCCAAGCAATGGCATTTCCATGCAGAGTAGGAAAACAAATTTCTAAAACTAAAGCTGGTCCTCAGTTCATTAATTTAGTGTCAAGAGTTAATAATCCTGCAGCAAGCAGAAGGGGAATGACCTGGCACACTCTCCTTACGTGCAATTCCCATCTCAGACTGGAGGTGAACTTAAGGGTTATTATGATTCAGAAGAAAATGCTTAAGAAACCTTATCTGCAGAGATTTCTGCATTTTGCTGGACAGCCTACCGATTTTCTCCGGCTCATCTGGCCCCGTTCCGGCAATGCAGCTGCTCTCCAGCCCGTACGTTGGATCCACCTTCCCAGAGGCTCTTGCTGCTTCCTGCACTTTCTTTACATGAGCTTCAACGAGCTCCAGTGGTACCTCCTCTCTGACTCGAGAAAACTCCTCTGTTAAAGATGACACAGAAAATGTGATATTGGAAGGGTTTTAAGGCAAAGCAATGATTTTCTCAGATCAATGCGCAGGTAAATCTCACGACAAAATGAATTCTCACATATTTAAGTTCCTTCTCATGTTAGGTAGTTATTCTCTAAAATGTGGTACTAAAGTCTCTTCCCAATTACGTAAAATGGTCTTTTACAAGGAAGAATACGGAAAAAAGCGAGAGTATTTATTTTATCACATTTCTTAGAGGACACACGTAACTGTGGCAGATGATTTCCCACAAGTAAGCCAGGAAACCCCAAAGCTTAGCATTGTGCATTTACCCGAGGCTGAACTGACGACAGCGGTCGCAGCAACACAAACCACGAGGTGGGGATTGCAAGCACCATCAATAGTCAGTGAGCAGAAATGGCGACTGCGAGCCACCTTTAGACATCCAGTGGCCTTTAAGAGCTATTCTAACTTGCCTGTAAATTGGCAGTTTCAGTAACAAAAGAACACAAACCAGTAGACCTGTTTTCAAAAATAATTCCTGGGGCAAACTCATACCTAACGCAGCCTTTGCTGCGGCTGATGCCACCCGGGGATCCACCACCGACGCCAGAAAAGCAACGGTGCTCATCACGGGATTGCCAGACTGGCTGAAAGGTACGGGCTGGTAGGCCAGCGGGCCCAGAGACGCATCGGAGTTCTCCAAATAGGGGTCTTCGATAGGAAGTCTCAGAAAATGGAGAATGCACTCGTCTTGGGTACGGCTCCCAACGTGCTCGGAGACTTTGTTCCAGTCGTCTTTGTACATCTCCAGAGCCTGCAAAAGGAAAAAAAAAAAAAAAAAAAAAAAAAAAATCATTGTATGCACATTAACTGCTCCGGGGGAGAAAACCCAACCCTACTTTACACAAAAATATTTCAATATTAGTTATTTTGGTGATGGAACAGTAAATCAGGCTCAGACTATTTTAAATCCTATTTTTTCTGGTAGAAAAATTATTCTGCATAAGAAATAAAACCATCTCACCGGGACATCAGTTAAATTTAAGCTGCAGGGATCATCACACAAGTTTTATGCTGTTACTGTATCACAGAATTGTCAGAAGATTTGGGATTTACTACTGATATTTGCACCGTTAGTGTTTCCCCATTTTGCTTCAGCACGAAAAGCCTTACAGAGAAGTTTGCTTATCCTACCAAGTCTCACCAATTCTATTAATTCCCAGAACTACTTCCCGAGGGCACTCTCACGTTCTATCGTTTAAGTCTTAACGCACTAAGCTCTGTGGGGCAGGAACGGGATTTATTTCACACGTCTGTACTCGCTGTGATGGTGAAGTCCAGAGTTTAGACCCAACAGATGTTATGAAAAATGAGAGCGCATCAAACCAGGGGAAGAGGAAAATACATTCTGCGTCACGGAGCTGGAAGATCAGTCCTCTAGCAGCTGTTAACCAGTCCGATTTGCGTTGTGCATTCAGGTTAACAAATCCGTGTGTAGATAAGCTGGAAGTTCTTACTTAGTCAGGTGGCTTAAGTCAAATATTTTGTAATTCAGAATTTCAGTCGCTTTTAAGGTTACTTAAGTAAAGCCTTAACCAAACAACTCAATAACAACAAGCTACTGAAGTGCCTGCGCTAGCTTCTGAAAAACTAACAAATTAGTCCCAGAGCCCATCCGAACGTTATCCCTTAACAAGGGTTTTTTTTTCCTGAAAATTTTTAATTATTTAAGCATTTGGATAGCATAAAGTAAGAGTTGAAGTATCCTGAACCATTAGCTTTTACATTTCTGAGATGATTCATGGTCTGCTCAACTAGAAAAAAGTAAGAAGCCATTTGAGATCTAGGCAAAATATGTTAAACTTAAAAATGAAAACGGGATCTGCAACTCACAGGCCTAACAGAAGTCTTCCGGAAATATTTAACAGAGGCCGGAGCAAGGGTGGTAAATGCTTTCCTCTTTATTGCTTTGAGTTGCAAATCCCATCTGAATTTTGAGGTTTAATATATTTGGCCAAAAAGCCAAGCTGCTTTTTCCTTAATGCTGTGCTTAGCCTACACCCAAACTGAAGGTAACCAGCTTCTGCATTGCTTCACAGCAAGCGAGCAGGCGTTTTACCGATGGCGGGGGAAGGACGGAATTTGATGTAGGCATTATCAGACAGCTTGGAGGACCCCACGACACGTCCTTACTGACCCACGGGCCAGCAGGCAGGCTGCTTTGGATTTTAAGGCACCTGTTTGCAGGTATAACCTATTCCAGAAGACACAGAGCTCATCCTCCTCCCCAACTGGCTGCTCATGACAACCGAGCTGCCCTAAATGAGCAGTATGGCCAGTTAAGCATGAATCGTAGAATCATTTGGGTTGGCAAAGCCCTTTAGGCTCCCCCAGCCCAACCGTTCCCCTACCCCTGCCATCCCACCCCCAAGCCCTGGCCCTCAGCACCGCCTCTTCCCGG